CGTTGCCCCCCCTCCCCTATTCACCTGCAAGCTCGGGCCTCCCTGAAGTTGGCCCTGGAGTCCGCTAAATCGGAGGATGGGGTTGTTGCTCAGAGCCCCGCCGCGGGTCAAGGCGATCGTTGGGGCCGCGCGGTTGATGGAGGCCATGCGCTGTCGCGTGGATTGGAGAGCACCGCCGAGCTGCGCTGCGTGCCCAGCTCCCCGCAGTAGCTGCGCAAGACGGAGGAGCACCGCGCGCGCGGGTGCCCCATGTCGTCGGCTCTGGAGGCGCATCCGAAGCCGGCGCTGAGCTGGCCGGCGGCGCTGGGGCGGAGGCTGGAGACGGCGCTTCGCGTGAGGGGGCGGGCGAAGGGGAATTCGCGAACCGCGCCCTTTGGCTGTCGCGCGCGGGGCGGGGGGCCTTCGCCGGCCAGCTCGTCGCCCAGGGCGCGCCAGTCCTGCGGGCTGGCTGCGACGCAGCTCTGTGGCAGGGGCCGCCCTACAGGCGGCCGCGGAGCGCGCGGCGTCGGCCCCGTGCAAAGGCAAAGGCAAAGTCAACCATTCGACCAATGGCTTCTCCCCCAAGTGAGCCCGCGGCCCTCTGGCGGCCGCCCTGGCGGGCGCCCGGGCGGGGGCGGCGGGGGCGCCCCCTGCGTTCGTTCCAGCCGGAGCCTTCGAGGGGCAGAGGCCTGGCTATACTTCTCTGCAGGTTGCAGCGGCTGCCTTCGGTGCTACCTGGGTCGAAGCGGCCGGCGCCGCTGGCTTGGCGGCGCGGCCGGCAAGCGACGGCAACCAGCCGCGGGCGCGCGCTGCCAGCTGGCGCGGCGCGGCGGCCCGCCGTTGTGCTCGAGGAGGACTCGCGGCCGCGGGCGCTGAATCTCGCCGGCCATCTGCCCCGGCCCTGTCCTGGCGGCGCGCGCCGCGGGCAGCGGCGCCCCTCGGGCTTCTGGTCGATCATCGCAGTGGAGGTTCGCTGTCGCGCGAGTTGGAGCACGCGCGGGGCGGCGGGCGCCGATGCGGCGGCCATCCGGGAGCGCCGCCTGGACGATCCGAACAGCGCGCTCGCGAGGCGGGCGGCGCGGCGCCGCGGCTGGAAGGCCGACTTCGCCATGGCGCGCCGCGGAGGCGGGCGGCGCCATGGGCGGCGCGGCCGCCCTGGTGAAGCCCTGGATTGGGCTGCGACGCGCCGAGCTCCCGAACGAGCGGGTCAAGGCGCCGCCCGCTCGCGGAAAGCGTGGCCTTCTGGCAGGTCGACTCAGGCTCGCCAACGGAATTCATGCTCGGCGCTCCCTCTACTCGCGCACCAAGGGCGGCGCGGGCGAGCAGGGTCTCGACGGGCTCTCCGAAGTAGGCGCGGCCCTGAGAGAATTGGGTCGCGTCGTCCTCGCTGGGGACTTCCAAGCCGCGCCGTCCTGCTTCGACCAGGCCCGATGGTTGACTGCGGTGACGTGGGCCGTCGCGTCTTCGGGGCGGCCCGCGTGCTTCGGAATGGCCTCCGCCAAGGAGTTGGACTTCTGTTTCACCTCGAAGTGCTTCTCGGCGACCTCGGTCAGCGGGGGTTGACGACGTCGCGGCGCAGCCTCGCTGGGCCGCGCGCGTGGCCTTCCAAGCAGCCGCGGCTGACAGTCGCGCGTCGGTGCTGCGCGGGGCTCGGGCGTTCCCGTCGAAGCCCCTGATCGGCCCGCGCTTGGAGGCCATGGATGGGGCAGCGCTCAGGGGGGGGGAGGGGGGGGGCGAGAGCATCGAGGGCGCAGCTGGCTTGGGCGCAGCCGGGGCAGCGCGAGCAAGACGCGACCTGGCACTTCTGCCTCCAAGAGCAGCGGCGCCTCCATGCGGGCTGCGCCCAAGGCCCGCGCGAGCCCTGCGCGTCGCCATGCAGTGGTTCGCGTTGCCGAGGGCGGCCGATCCCGGATTCTCGTCGACCCGCCGGTCTCGTGCACGGCTGCCACCCTCCATGGCTGGCGACGTGGCCGCGTGGCTGCGCGGCGCTGCTGCGGAGTGGGCGGTTTCCCGATGGTGGCAGGCCTGCTCGGTGCTCCTGGGCCTGAGCAAGGCGTGCGAGTGGTTCCAGCGGGGTGCCCTGGCGTGCCCGGCGACTGCGACTTCCGCTGCGGTTGCTTCGTCTTCTGATCAATTTGTACGGCATGCCGCGGTATGTCAGCCATGGCGGCGTCGTTCTGGGCAGGTGCTTGCCAAGCAAGGCGTGGTGGCGGGGTGCTGCTTCGCTGACCTTTTCATGCGCCTGCGCCTCGTGCCCCTCGTGGGCCTCGCGCTGGAGCGGGTCGGCGACGTCGAAGTCGCCAACTTGGTGGATGACCTGCAGCTCCAGGCGGCGAGTCTACCAGAGCGCCTCACGTGCGTGTTGGCGAAGGCATGCCGCCTGCTCCGGGAGCAGCTCGCCCTGCGCGGCCTCGTGGTGCAGGGCGCCATAACTGCTGCGGTGGCCAGCTCGGCGGAAGCATCCAAGCACCCAGCCTGCCGCTGCTTCGGTGCTCTTCGCTCCAAGCCGCGTGCGTCACGCTTCTCGCAATCTGGGCGTCGACTGCGCCTGTGGGAAACGACCCTGCAGCCCCGTGCGCGCTGCTCGACTAGCCAAAGCAAGGCGATGCGCAGGCAGGATTGGAGCGATCCGCAATGGGGCGTGGCCTGTGCAGGGCGCTGGTGTCCATGGGACTCGTGCCGGTGGTCACCTACGGCGACGGCGTGACTGGCCGGGCGCGGTCCCGCATCGGACCTCTGCGCAGGGCGGCCCACGTGGCCTTGCCCCGCGACTGCGCGGCAGGTCAGCTTCTATGGGCCTTGCCAGTCAGGCTGCGCCGCGCACGGTCGTACGTGGGGCCGGTCGGCAAATTTGCGAGGGCGGTCTGGGACACGTGGCTGCCGCGCGAATGGCTGAACAAACAAGCTTACGCAGCCGACGCGGTTTTCACAATCCAGTATGGACGGCAAGATTGACAGCTGGTCAAAGCCCCCCTGGGCGCCGCCGTGGCGTCGGCCAAATGGATGAGCTGGACGGTGCTTAGCACGCCGTGCACCTTCCGCTCCGACGACGGCATCCGGGTCAACCTGATGGAGATGTGCCCCAAAACGATCAGAGTGTTGGTGCAGCGCTCCATGCAGCAGTGGCTGCATCAGCGTGCTCTCGCGCGGCACTCGTACATGGCCGACTTCACGCATGAGCCCTATTTGGGGCCGCTGCGGGCGCTGGCCACGGGCAATGTGTCGGCCGAGTGGAGCCGGGCCTACCAGGGACTCGTCCGCGCAGTCGTCGGCAACGGCGTCTGGGATGCACCGCGGCGCCACGCCGCGGGGTTGCAGGCGTCTCTTGTGCGCCCATTCTGCGGCGGCGAGGCGGGCACCCTGCAACACACGGCTTGGGGCAGCTGTCTCACTACGCGCGTGTGGAGGCGCGACTATGGCCTGCCCGTGGGCCTGCTGGATCCTGCAGCCTCGCACCCAGACTGGTGCCTATGGCGGCAGGCATGGGCTCGTGCCCCACCCCTGGAAGCTTTTCCCTAGTCCTGCTCCTTCCTTCTCTGCGGCATGGGACGTGCGTCCCGCCGACGGCACCCTGGGGAGCGTTGTCTTCGGCAACGGATCCGTTTCTGCCGTGCCGAGCGGGGATCCCCTTCTGCGCAGGGCGGGACAGGGCCTCGCACATGTGTCGCCGTCTGGCACGGTCACGGCCCTAGCATATGGGCCCGTGCTGCGGCAGGTGCAGGATTGTCAGGTTGCGGAGGGTTGGAGTTCTGCGGAGTGGAGAACTTAGCTTTTTACTCTGATTGCCAATGGGTGGTATCCCCGTTCGCCAAAGGGCGCTGGGAGACCACTCGTGCCAGGTGTGTCGCAGCCGATTTGTGGACGAGTATCTGGTATGCCCTTGGCGAACTTGAGTTTCAGGTGCGGGTCTGCAAGGTCAAAGGGCATGCCATGCCCAACGACGACGACATTCGCCCTGACGCCCGCTACCTTCGGCTCGACAACGCGGAAACCGATACTGCTGCACGAAGGGCGCCCGCTCCTATCCCAACGATCCCGCTGCGGAGCGGAGGTTTGTAGGAGCATTCAGACTCGCGCAATGCGTGGGCCGATTCCTCGGTCGGTTCTTGCATGCGTGGCCGTTCCCAAAGCAGGAACGCAGCCGCGCGCTTTGCAGCCGTGCCGCTCCTGTCCTCACTGCTGATTTCCCCGCACAGGACGGTAGGCACGATGTGATCAAGTTCGGTGGCCAATTTCGCTGTCTGCGGTGCCAGCGCAGAGGCACGCAGATGTCGCACCCACCTCCTCGCTGCGGCGCGGGTGGCCGACGTCATCGCCTGTGGCCGCTAGGCAATTGCATTGTCTGTGCATCCTGCGGGTGTTACTCGCGCGACAACGCCAGGGCGCTCGCGGAGGGTTGCCGTGGGGGTGTCGCGAGACAGAGCGCCACCGCCTTCCGCCTCAACCAGCTGTGGGAGCCACGGGACCCTCGCATTGGTGAGTCCTTGGGCGACCGTCGGCCTCAGCCCTCCGGCGAGCTGGTCAGGGACGCCACATGGGGGGGCTTCGTCGTGTTGCCGGATAGCCCCGGCGGCAGCGAAAACGCACCGCCGGCCTCTTAAGCCGCTCGTTGTGCCGCACGCCAGATCCTTTCTCCTCCTCCCCCTCCTCCCTGAATTAGGTGAATTTCCACGGCGTCAACAGCGCGTCCCAGGCTCAGCACAGCGGGGATCACGTTTCGAGCAACAACAGCCGTCCACGTCCTCGCCCTCATCCTCCTGATCATCTTCGTCGTCGGCGTCCTTCTCCTCCTCCTCAGCCTCGTCCACCTCGTCGTCTTCGTGTCCTCATTGTCGTTGACGTCGTCGTCGTCGTCGTCGTCGTCGTCCTCCTCCTCCTCCTCATCCCTCACCCTTCTCCGACGAGCAGGAGGAGACAGGAGGAAAACTTCGTGGAGGCGATGGAAGAGGAGGACGAAGAAAAGGAAGAGAAAGAAAAGGACACGCAACACGGCGGGGAATGATCTGGCTGTCCCGCAATACCTCTGCGTGAGCTCGGGGACCTTCGTGAGGAAAGGTACGGTGTCTATCGCCTCCCGCAACGGGGAACATCGACGGGAGGCGCGGGGAGACAAGAGAGGCGGACACAAAACACGACCAGCACGGACTAGTCGTTCTGAAGACGGAGATATTGGTGGGAGGGGGGGAGGAGGGGGGGGGGGGTTGGGGGGCGAAACGCGCCTGGGGCTCGAGCTCGGTGATGGCGCTTTTCAATGGCTTCTGGTCTTTTGGGGCCCCTGGGGGCTCGTGGCACATCTGGGAACCTCTGAAAACCGTTCGGCAGGAAGGGGGGCGAGCGGGGCAACGGGTGGCAAGAGGAGAAAGATCGAGAGGACCGATACATAAACAAAAATATAGAAAGAGAGACAGAGGAGAAAAAAACGATATGCAAAGAGAGGTCAAAGGATGGATATTGATCCGTGATTCCATCACTGCAATGTTATTATGATTGATTTCTCCTCAACCTCTTGCCCTGGACTCCCGACGACTCGTGCTAATGCCCTCCTTCTGACACCGTCGCCGACAAAACGCATGCGGCTTGGCGCCATCGTGATCTGGGCTTTGTTTTAATGCAGCGCAGGGTAGGCGAGCGCGGCGAGACGAGACCACTTGCGGCGACGCGGTACCCACGATAGTGAAATGAAGGAGGACGATGGAAAAAGGGTCCCACCTTGGACAAACATGTCGTGGCTTCTCGCGGGAACGTCCTGAGATCAAGTCCTCATGTCTCCAGAGAGACGAACCCTCATGGGACTGGCCACCTCGCTGGCTCGAACGTACAGGGCTTGGGCCAGCCACAATACATCCCCAGGCCGAGCGTTTTTCGTTTTGGGCGAAAAAAAGAAAGCACCGATGGTTCCAATTGGATCCTTTTCGGGTTTGCGACAGTATCGTGGATCCTGTTCATGTCTTGCGCGGATCCTATGTCCCGTGTTTGAAGAACCAATGGATCCATTCATTTCCCTGGAATGACCATATACTAATAACTAACATCCCGGACGCAGGAAGCATTGGATCCGCGGGGCGCCGCCCGCGAAACATCATGCTATCCACGGGCGGAGAGAGGATGGAGGAGGGAGGAAGCACGAAGAGGGGGGAGGAGGGGAGAAGGGACGGGAGGAGGGATGACAGAGGAGGAACAATCAGGGAGGAGGAGGGAGGACGCTAAACTCCAACGCTGGATTGTGCACGTGAATTTTCAATTTTCACCCGGCCAGACCTCGCAATGGCGCGCCGCGATGATCCGCCTCATCCACGCAGAAGACGTCGACGCCACTTGCGCCCGATGTTGCGCCCGATGTTGCGCCCGATGTGGGCCCGATGTGGGTCAGATTTTGCGCCCGATTGTCTGTCCGATTCTAAATCCGATGTGCGTCTGATTGTTTCGATACTGAACCGAAGAGAAGAGAATCGGACACGAAATCGGTCGCGAAATCGGACGCGGCATCGGTCGCTTCTAGGCGCGTTTCCAAGGGTTCCTTCGGGCGCTCTTCTGAGCTCGCGTCGTAGCACTCGGCCGTCTAAGTGGCTAACCACGTGGTGACACTCGCATTCTGCCTCGCCCCGACAAGCAACCCTGCTAGACTGCGGAGCTTGGCGAGCGTGGCGGGGGCTACCCCGCCAGCACCTGCGCCGCGCGCGGCCGCTGGTAGCAGGCCCATGCGCCAAAGAGCACGCACCTTTCCATCAGATGCCCGTCCAAGTGCCTTCAAGCGAGAGGTGCGTGCTAATGCTAATGGTACGCAACCTGCTTCCAGCCAGCTCGTGCCTACGGTTGCGCATTTGCCCGAAGACCTGGAGCTGTAACGCTTGGGCAAAACCACGCATGGACCGTTTCGCTCGGTGTGAACAGATGGCGCACCCACACTTGCCTACCTGAGTGATAAGGCCGAATGGGACAACCTCGTTCGTGAACCACTGGGCTGCTCGGAGTAGAGAGGCCACTTGACGCATATCATCACCAACCCAGTGAGAGCTGACGTCGCCCATGAGCGCGCGGGGTAGAAAGGCACTAAAACGCTTCCTCACCGTTCCCAGAACATTGAATAGCAGCAGCTGCACCACCGCACCTGCACGGCTGCAACCCGCCACGATCCTTCGTCTAGATCCGAACGTGGCAGAAAATGGCACATGCGCCCTGACCTGTCGCGGGGCTGGATACGTCGATCATAGCACCCATGCCAGCCTCATTGGGAATTGCAGCTGTCGAGCGTTATCCCAAAGGACCTGGAGCCATGTGTACATGTTACATGTCAAAAAGGGCGCTGGCAACTTAATGCCCACGTGATTTGGTAAACCCCGCAATCTAGTTGCGCTGGAAGGCAGCGTCCGCGGATGTCGCTCCTGATCTGGTCCCCCAGAAAGCATCTGACAGATGTTGAAGTTCCCATGCCTTGGAAACTGGCCTGCGCAATCTGCCCCGAATTCGGATGAGAGTATTTCCTCGTCCCATGCCCCCGGCGGGGCCTCGGGGCCTCCCTGGCCGCTCCGCGCCTCGGAGCGACGTGCGGCGCGCACGCTGCGCCGAGCGTGCCGGGCTGAGTGGGGAGGGGGAGGAGGGGGGAGAGGAAGGGGAGGGGAAGGGGAGGGAAGAGAGAATCCACGGATTGCACCGGTCTGACAATCATTCATAATTTTATAAGGGCAATGTTTGAGCTACTTCTAACAAGGCTTCTCGATGTGTGGCGAGAGAAAGATCTAGAGCAATGTTCCAGAGGGCAGGGGGTCGGTGGGCGGCTGTCGCTATCCAGTATTCCTCAGCAGTTTCTTTCGTCCACTTCAACCGAGGTCGCCCCACCCGGTTTTTCTCGAATCGTAGAAACTCTAGCGTGTCGGCTCTCATGGTTGCTTGCCGGACTGGGTCCGAGGGATCGGCTTTCAAGAGGTTTTGATACAGTTTCAGCTTTTGTTGGTGGTACATTTGGCTGAACGGAGTCACTGGTTTGGTTGCTCCTGCAGCTTGGATACTCTGGTTCGCCCTTTCGAAAACGAGAGCATTCGTGTTTGCTCGGTTGACGTATGTCGTTGTCATGTGCAGGATTTTGCGGAGTCCTTTCAGCTGCACTGTGTCGATCCGTTTGATCGTTGCTTGCGTGAGCTGTGCTGTGGCCAGTCCGTACAGGAGCTTAGACCGGATTGTCGCGTCGAAAGCGAGGATTTTAAAGCGAGTGGGGCAGTCGCTGTGCAACCAGAAAATGTTGAGCTTTTTCATCGTAGCGAGAACTTGAGAGATGCGAGCATTGACTTCTTTGGTAGTGTCGCTCTTATTATTAAGCATGCATCCAAGGTATTTGACTTCCGCTTTGACTTCCACAGGGTCCCCGTTAGCGAAATGGATGTTTGGGTGGGAATGCCCGGTGTGGATAACTTCACACTTGGTTGTGTTGAGTCGAAGGCCATACTTGGAACTTTCTTCTTCAATTGACTTTAACAGCGCATTCATTGCTTTGGTGCTTTGCGATATACAGATGGTATCATCGGCGTACAAAACAGCGTCAAAGCTTACGCCTGGCAGACGATGCGGGCCGAGCTGGCGGTCCACGTTTTTCTGGACATCATGGAAAAGAGCGGTCATGACCAACAAAAACAAATATGGCGACAAAGGACAGCCTTGTCTTATACCGCACTGTTGTTCGTACCACGACGATTCCGCTCCTTCCATTTCGACCTTGAACTGCGTGACGCGGTAAATGCTCTGCACCGCTTTGATCAGCTTGGGGTGTCCGCGGCCACGAGCTTCGCCAACTGCGCTCTGCTGGCCGAGTCGAACACGTATGCGGACCTGGACGAATACCCAGCATCGTCATCGAGGTAGGCCCCCACTACAGCCCGAGACCCGTGTGCGCTCACGGCCACAGAAAACCCGACGCAATCGTCGGCGGCCCCGTCCGCGAAAAAGAGCTTCGCCAACTGCGCGCCGCTGGCCCCGTCGAACACGCACGCGGACCCTGACCCGTGTTCCAAGGCCTCGGCCTCCACAACGACCCGGGCCCCGTCGCCGCTCAAGGCTACCGAGCGCCCGAAGTGTTGGCCGCCGGCCCCGTCCGCGGCGACGAGCTTCGCCAAAGTTGCGCCGCCGACCCCATCGAAAACGTACGCTGACCCAGAGCTGGGGCCGGCGTCGTCGTCGTAGTGGGCCCCCACCACCACCTGGGCCCCATCGGCGTTGACGGCCACCGATCTCCCCAATGTGTCGCCGCGGAAAGAGTCCGCGACCACGAGCTTCGCCAGCTGCGCGCCGCTGGCCCCATCGAACGCGTATGCGGACCCAGACGCCTCCCCGGCGTCGTCGTCGAGGTAGGACCCCACAACCACCCGGGCCCCGTCGGCGCTTACGGCCACCGAGCCCCCGAAGTAGTCCATGCTCTCCCCGTCCGCGGACACGAGCTTCGCCAGCTGCGCTCCGCCAGCGTCGAACACGTACGCGGACCCAGAGTTGGTGCCGGCGTCGTCGTCCCACGGGGCCCCTACCACCACCCTGGTCCCGTTGGCGCTCACGGCCACCGAGTTCCCGAACAAGTCCAATGTGGCCCCGTCCGAGGCCACGAGCTTCGTTAGCAACATAACGTCGAAATTCCCAATCATCCGTGAGCTGAACACATGGTCGAAAGTACCGTCAGAGCTGGTGTCGGTAGTGCCGGCGTCGGTGGTGGAGCGGGCGTCGGCTGTGGTGCTGGTGTCGATGGTGGGGCAGGTGTCTGCTGGTACTTGAGGTGAGTGCAGGCCCTGCTGTCCGTGCCCTCCCTGTTCGCCGCAATGTCACTGATCGCGCTGTAGCAATACCGCACTCCAGTGTCCGTACACAGGGTGCCATGCAGGGCATGACAATCAGGATCTGCATCACACGCCGCTTCAGCATCACTCCTGGAGGACGTTGTGCTGTGGCACAGACCCGACCACGCAGAAGTGGCCACTCGCGGGCCATCAATGTACGATGCTTCGGTGATTACGGGGGCCTCTGTCGCATTGCTGGTGACTGTTGTGAGACACATCGGCAGACACATTAGCATCACGCATGCTCGGATGAGCATCCGCAACCTCCATAACGCTTCGAGACCTTCCACGCAATTCCAACGCTGTGCTGTTGCTGCTGCCAGATGGAACGGGTGGTCCTGATGCTATTGTTCCTGGTGCTCCTGGTGCTCGTCGCGCTGATCACATCGGTGCTGCTGGTTGCGCGGGTGCTCCCGCGCGTTGTGCTGTCGGTGCGACTCATGGTCGTCATGGCGCTGCTGGTCGCCCCGGTGCTGCTGCAACCTGCACGGCTCGTCCCCGCCGAGCTGGGCACCTCGGGGAGCGCGGCCAGGGCGTGGGGCAAACCGTCGATCTTCAGGCCAGGCCGGGCCACGGGCTCGGCGAACCCGGGAACTGGACGTGTTCGGTCGCGTGCATGGACTCGCAAGGTATTCGGGCGGAGCTCGAGCCACCGCTTGAGCCAAAATGGCCACGGAAGGAAGGTGGGGATACGCGAAGCGTCAAGAATTTCGAAAGGAATCCGGCAGTGGCGACGAAGACGCTCCTGGAAGCCCCCCAAAAGGCCCGCGTCCAAAAACGTCGAACATCCCAGAGACCTGATGTCGAGAACAAATGTTGCAACTCTGTATGGAATCACGACCAAAACCCTCGACCCCATCTTCCTGCTGAATCTCTCGAGTCGGATCGATCCGTGAGGGTCCTGCAGGGCCAGAATAATGTTTGAATCAGTTGCAATGCCTGGGTTTCAGAGGCGGTCTTCATCGACGTCGTCGGACCTGAGCAAATACTCGTCCTGCCCTGAGCTTAGAGGCGGACCCAGCCGTAGCGATGAATAGCATCCCAGAGGTTCCCGAATGAGCAAAATGCGTCCAACAACCTTGAACCTCGATCCTCAAATCTGGCTTGGTACGATCGACGTGAGCATGGACGTAATGGGGACGAAATGCAACACCAGCTCCTGTCCATCTGAGCAGGCCTCGCTGCCGGTGTCGCCGCGGACGTTGCCCACTCCAGACAAAAAGGCCGCCTGCCAAACTGCTGCTGCTGCTGCTGCTGCTGCTGCTGGTCTTGGACAAACTGTGTTGGGCGTCGTCGTCGTCGTCGTCGTCGTCGTCGTCGTCGTCGTCGTCGTCGTCGTCGTCGTCGTCGTCGTCGTCCGCTGGCTGGCTGGCCGGCACGTGCACGGCGCCCTCGATCCAGCCAGTGCCGCGGTCGCCCCCGCGCACGTCCACGAGCAGGCAGGCGCCGGCGCGCAAGAGGGCCTGGCCAGCAGCGTCGACGTCTGCGTCGGCGGCGTCGGCGGCTGCGGCGTCGGCGGCATCTGCGGTGGCGTCGGCGGCGGCGTCGTCGGCGGCATCGGCCCTGCTATGTCGTGGCCTGCTCGCGTGTGCAGACGTGCAAGAGAGCCCCACCTCGAACGATCGACGACAGCGTGCGCCAAGGTCGAGGGCAGCGCGCACCTGCGGGGACAGCAAGCGGCAACACCCACATCGAGGACACACCCTGTGGTTTTTCGTGCGTCTGCCGAAAACTGTCGGAGCACCGAAAACCAGTTTCGTACTGGTTGTGGTCGATGCGGCGTCCAAAGACGGCCAAATCGACCTCAACCACATCCAACATGTTCACGTCGAAGTCGGTGGGTTCTCCCCGAGGGGCACTCCTGAAATCCACTTCGTTGTGGTTGTGGTTCTTCGTTGTGCCCGCAACACCGTGCACCCCTGCGTGCTGGTTGTGCACGCAGGCGGGCGTAAACATAGTGAGACCCCTCGGGGATCTGGGTCGACGGACCCCCCCTGGCCACAGCAGGGGCGAGCACGCGACGCTGCGTGCGACGGGCAAACCGCGGGGAGGAGAAGGGAGAAGGGGAGGGGGAGGGGGAGGAGGAGGGGGAGGAGGAGGGGGAGGGGGAGGGGGAGGATGAGGAGGATGAGGAGGACGAGGAGGATGAGGAGGATGAGGATGAGATGAGGATGAGGAGGAGGAGGAGGAGGAGGAGGAGGAGAGGAGGAGGAGGAGGAGGAGGAGGAGGAGGAGGAGAGGAAGGAGGAGGAGGGGAGGAGGAGGAGGAGGAGGAGAGGAGGAGGAGGAGGAGGAGGAGAGAGGAGGAGGAGGAGGAGGAGGAGGGGGAGGAGGAGGAGGAGGGAGGAGGAGGAGGAGGAGGAGAAGGAGGAGGAGGAGGAGGAGGAGGAGGGGCGGAGGAACAGGAGGAGGAGGAGCAGCAGGAGGAGGACAAGGAGGAGGAGGATGAGGAGGAAGACAATGAGGAGGAGAGGAGGAGAGGAGGAGGAGGAGGAGGAGGAGGAGGAGGAGGAGGAGGAGGAGGAGGAGGAGCGGAGGAGGAGGAGGAGGAGGAGGAGGAGGAGAAACGCTTTCGAAACGTTGTCGAACAGCTACGATGCTGCGGCCGCCGCAGCGCGCTCCCTGCGCGCGCTCGGCAGCGGGCGCCCGCCCCGACACTCACGGAGTCAGCCTCCTCGGCCTGCTGGTCCTCCGCGAGCGCAGGTGCGCGCCCTGGGGCTCCTCCCGCCTCTGGCAGCTGCCGTCGTCGCCTCTCCCCTCCCCAGCGCGCACAGCAGCAGCGCGGATCTCAGGGGTTGCCCTGGCGAGGCCGCCATCTTGGCGGGGCCCCTCCTCTCGCTGCAAGCCCGCCTCGGACTGCGCTGGGAGTCGTGAGCGTCCTGCTCCACCCCCGCTCGGGGCCCGCGCGGGCGTGCCTCCACGAGCCCCTCTGTGGCCGCTGTGTGCACTCCGCATCTCGTCTCTGGCGGTGCCGCTGCAAGCCCGCCTCGGGCTTCGCCTCCTCTCGGGGTCGTCCGTCCAGCAGCCCAGGAGGTCGCGAGCGGCCTTGCTCCACCTCCGCTCGGGGCCCGCGCTTGTGTGACTCCCCGAGCCGCTCCTGTGGCTGCTCTGGCGAGGCTGCCATTTGGGCTGGGTCTCTCGCGGCTGCGAGGAAGGCCCTCTTGTCGCGTGGCCTCCTCTCGCTGCGGGCACGCCTCGGGCTGCGCCCCCGCCCGGAGCCTTCCTGCAGCCCTGGGGGTCGCAAGCGTCCTTGCTCCATCCCGGGCCCGCGCTGGCGTGCCTCCCCGAGCTCATCCTGCGGCCGCTGCGTGCCCTCCGCCTCTCGCCCTTTGGCGGTCCCGCTGCAAGCTCGCTCCTCCTCCACTCGGGGCCCGCGCTGGCGCGCCTCCCCGAGCCCCTCCTGTGGCAGCTGACAGCTCTCGTCCTTCCGCCTCGCCTGGCCGCGGGGGTGGCTCTTCTGGTTCGTTTCGCCCAGAAGCTCCACTTGTGCTTCCGCTCGCTGGCGCCCCGCCCGCTGCTTCGCCCCCATCGATGGGCATCCTCCTGTCTGCCTCGGAGGTCGCGCTCGGGGCCCGCTTCTTTGGCGTGCCTCCCCGATGCCATTCTGTGGCAGCTGGGGGCCCACCTCCCCTCGCCCTCTGGCGCCCCTGCCGCGCGCCCTCGCCCCTCTCGCCTGCTGCTGGCCCTTGCCTCGCCTGGCCGCGGGAGAGCTCTTTTGCTATTTTTTGTCCAGAAGCGCCACCTTTGCCCCCCGCGTCGCCCCCTCGCTGGGAACCCTGGCGACCTCGGGGTCGCGAGCGGCCGCGCTCCACCTCCGCTCAGGGTCTGCGCTGGCATGCCTCCCCGAGCCCCTCCCGTGGCCGTTGGGAGACCTCCGCCTCGCGCCCTCTGAATCTCCCGCTGCAAGCCCGCCTTGGACTTCGCTCCCTCTCGGCGCCTGCCAGCCGCGCTGGGGGTCGCGGGCCTGGCTCCACCCCCGCTCGGGGCCCGCTGTGGCGTGCCTCCCCGAGCCTCTCCTGTGGCTGCTGTGGTGCCACCTCCTCGCGCCCCCTGGCACTCCTGTCGCGCACTCTCGCGCCTCGTGCCTCTTCCGCCTCAGACCGCGTGGCCGCGGGGTTGCCCTTCTGGTTTGTTTCGCCCAGAAACGCCGCTGGTGCACCCCGCGGCTCTGGCCTCGTCCTCGTCCTCGGGGGTCTTCTCCTTCGCCTTCGGCCACTCCTGCGGGCCGCCCCTGCCTCCGGTGGCATCCCGCCGCCGCCCTCGGCCACCCCTGAAGCCTGCGGCGCCCGCCCGCGCAAGCTGCGCGGCCACGGCGCGGCTTCCTGAACTTCCCCGTTACAAGCTCTGTCTTAGATGCGCTGCACTTCTCGCAGAAACAGCGGCCGCTGTCCAGGGCCCCCCCCCCTGGTGCGATCCGTTGGGCTCGACGCCGTACTTGGTGACCGCCAGCGTTGTCGAGGGCGGGGGGCCGCTGCGCTCCTCGCCCAATCATTCGCGGATCAGTGCTGCCCTCGTTGCGGAACTTACCGCTTCACCGCAGCAGTTGCAAGCCCATCCAATACCTCGCCGGTCGCGATTGGGGGGGCGCTTTGTGATCGGCCTCTTGGCTGCGTCGTCTCCCAGCAGGTCCTTCTTTCTCCTTGCCTCGGCTCTCTCCTGTCTTACCTGCGCGCGCCTGGCCCCCTTCAGCTCTTTCTCCTCAAGTGGCCTTCTGATCATGGCGTCCGTCGTTGTGACCGCTATGCGCGCCCCACTCGTAGTTGCGCATATGGGTGTCGTCGATTGCGCGCATGCGTGCTCCAACGTCTGCGTATTCGCCAGATGCTATGCTCCCCGCCCAGATGTGTCTGGGCTTGGCGCGCCTGTTGCCGCCGCCTCAAACTCGGTCATGTGGCTACTCAGGTGGAACATTATGATACAGCTCGTGCCCTTGTTCCTCTTGCGCATTGCCTCTCTTGCATTTTAAGATGAACAGCTTATCCATGTTGGTGGTCTGCCGAAGCCCCGGGAAGGGCCCGAAGCGGCCGCCGGCGATGGGGCCGCCCCGCGCGTGGGTGAGCAGCGCCTATCCCCAGCCGCACCTGCAGCGCCGTTCGTCAGCGCTGTGCCCGCCGCCTGAGAAGTCTCCGCGTCCAACCAACGGTTCATCTGCATGCCCTCGCAACTTCTCCGTCGTCGCGCATGCGCCCGTCGCTCGCTCTCATTGCTCGGTGGCGCATTTTATCGGCGTCGCCCAGGCATCGGGGGCGATGCCCCGCAGCCAGAAAGAAAGCCGGGGCTGCTGCTATGCCCGAGAGGGCTCTCCCGGTGAGCCCCATCGGTCTTCCCCGCCTCCCCGGTGCCGAGCAGTCGCGCCAGATTCTGTGGGCGTCGTCTTCTGGTTGGCCGCGCTCGCGGCAAGACTCCTCTCCGCCGACGGCGTCGTGCCTCCTTCTCCCGGTCCAGGTGCCTGCGGGCGCTGCCGTCGAGAATGCGCCGTAGCTTCCGCTGTGCCCCTTGTTGGTCAGCGACTACAAGTGCCTCTTCAAATCCTTCGCGTCGGCGCCTTCCTCCAGTCCGTGCCGTTGTGATGTTCCGCGGCCGTCCAACAGAGCTGTTCACTCAGGTCTTCTTGGAATGCCTCTACGATCGCGGCGTAGTCGCCTCCCTGGTCGTCCGAGCCGAACTTCCAATGGCCCCCCTGTCCACCCAGGAATCGGGTCCCTTGGAGTCCCCGCCCATTTCTCAGAACAGCAGTATGTGGCTGGCGAGGGGCCCGCTCCTGGTCTGCCACCGCTTGCGCACCTCGGTCCTCGGCAGGAAGAAGATCCTCGGCCATGCTCTCCTGACCTGGCCCCTGATGTCGGAAGTCCTGGCCCAGACCCCGAACTGCGTCTTCAGCTGCGCCCGCGCCGGCGAGATGGCGGGGCCCTCGTCCTCTCTGGCCAGAAGCGTGGCGAGGCGCCTGTCTGGCAACTGTCTCCTCGGCGCCTTCGTCCTCGCCCACGGGGCCAGTCCGTGCACCGTCGCGCCGTGCATGCATGAGGCGACAAGCCCTGGGCGCACGACCCCACGCCTCTTCCTCCGCCTCATCCTCTTCAGCTTCGTTGCTATGGGGGCGCGCCTCGCGCGCGCGCGCCCTGCGTCCTCTTCGTGCGCGCGCTTCCCTCCCGCGTCCCTCGCGTGCCTCTGTCGATGCCCGAGTCCCTGCCCTCGGTCGCGGCCAGCGCGCGCAGGTCCTGTGCTCTCAGTGTCTTCATCGCCTCCGGCGTGGTCTTCAAGCTCGACGCAAGGATGGCCGCGTGTCTGCATGCCAGAGGGCGCGCCCCCTCAGTCCATTGCGCAGCGCGGTGAGCCACAGTTCCATCTCCACTGCATTGGCGCTGCCAGCGATCCCGATGCTGACGCCGTCGAGCCAGGCCCTCAGCCTCGGCTTCGGCAGCGCCTGCAAGCTCTCCGACTACTACTCACGATCGCGGAGGCA